TTGATCCCGGGACTCCAGGATCATGACCTGAGCCGAAGGCAGTCGCTTAACCAACTGAGCCACCCAGGCGCCCAATAAATAAATAAATCTTAAACAAAAACAAAAACAAAAACAACCAGGGGTGCCTGGTGGCTCAGTCGGTTAAGCATCTGCCTTCGGCTCAGGTCATGATCCCAGGGTCCTGGGATCAAGTCCCACATTGGGCTCCTTGCTCAGCGGGGAGCCTGCTTCCCCCTCTGACCCTTCCCCCAGCTCATGTGCTCTCTCTCTCTCTCTCACTCTCAAAAATAAATAAATAAAATCTTTAAAACAAAACAAAGCGAAAAACAACAACCAGATATTTGTCAACAGGATTCTCATTTCAGCTGAAGACACTGTTCAATCTGCAATAGAATTTCTCACTCTTGGACTACTGACATTTTGGGCCAAATTCTTTGAGGTAGTCATTGCCCTGTGCATGTAGGCTATTTAGCAGCATCCCTGGTCTCTATCCTCTAGATGCTAGTAGCACCCTCCCTACCAGTTCTAACCACAAAAATGTCTCCAGATGATGCCAAATGTCTCCTGGGGATAGGGTTGACATATTTATAAAAAAAAAAAAAGGCTTGTTTTTTTTTTTTCCTCCTGACATAGCTTAGCCCTTGACAGAATTATTTAGTATTTGTTTTAATTTTAACCTGGTAACTGAAATATATGTTTGAAGATCAATGTTGAGATTCAGTAAACTATCATAGATGAGACAATAATAAGTTGTATTTGTATAGCCTAATAATTTAAGCTGTAAGCTCCTTTCCATGTATATAAAGGTAAGATAAAATATGTAGTCCATTTATTTTCTTTGGGAGAATGAACTGAAATTGAAATTTTGGTGAGGGAGTGTGGATTCTGAGCCTCTTCTTCATAATTATCCCTGCATTAAGACACAGCATCATAGAGCTTTTCCTTCAGTGGGCTTTTTCATTCTTGTAAGTTAGAAAATGTAGGCACATTCCTGTCCCGTGCAGGAGCAGCCTAAGCATTTGGTGTTCCTGAGTGTGGGTTAGGCAGGGTTGAGTCGATTTGGGGAATTACAAATGTGCAGACTGTAGGTCCCAGGCTCTGAGAATATACATTGCTGTACTTCATATAAGAATAACTGTGCATTGGACATATTTTCTATTTTAAAAACACGGTCCAAGTGTCAACCTATTTGCCTATTTGGTCACTATCTTTACTCAGCACTGAAGAACTAGGTTATCTATAACACTCAAAGCATTCAGAAGGTGAACCATAATGACTAAGAGGGGTGGGGAGGCTACCCAGTCTCTGGTATTTTGTTAGACTAGCCTGAACAGACTAAGACAGTTTGTAAATATTTTCTCCCATTCCCTAGGTTGCCTTGTCATTTTGTTGATTATTTCCTTTGCTGTACAGAAGCTTTTTAATTTTATGTAGTTCCACTTGTTTATTTTTGCTTCCGCTGACTGTGCTTTTGGTATTATATCTAAAAGTCATTGTCGGAACGCCTGGGTGGCTCAGTCGTTAGGCGTCTGCCTTCGGCTCAGGTCATGATCCCAGGGTCCTGGGATCGAGTCCCACATCGGGCTCCTTGCTCAGTGAGGAGCCTGCTTCTCCTTCTCCCTCTGCTGCTCCCCCTGCTTGTGCGCTCTCTCTCTGACAAATAAATAAAAATATTAAAAAAAATAAATAAATAAAAGTCATTATCAAAACCAATGTCAGGGAGCTTTTTCCCTTTTTTTCTTCAAGGAGTTTTATAGTTCCAGGTCTTATGCTTAAGTCTTCAATCATTTTGAGTTAATTTTTGTGAGTTCTATAAAATAGGGATCCAGTTTCATTCTTCTGCCTGGATACCCAGTTTTCCTGGCACCATTTGTTGAAGAGACTGTCCTTTCCCTATTGTGTATTCTTGGCACCCTTGTCAAAGACAGTTGACCATATATGCATGAGCTTATTTCTGGGCTCTATTCTGTTCCATTGGCTTATGTGTCTCTTTTTATGCCAGTACCATGTAGTTTTGATTACTGTAGCTTTGTAATGATAGTTTGAAATCAGGAAGTGTGACGCCTCCAGCTTTGTTCTTCTTTTTTTTTAATTTTTTATTGTTATGTTAATCACCATACATCATTAGTTTTTGATGTAGTGTTCCATGATTCATTGTTTGTGCATAACACCCAGTGCTCCACGCAGAATGTGCCCTCTTTAATACCCATCACCAGGCTAACCCATCCCCCCACCCCCTCCCCTCTAGAACCCCCAGTCCATTTCTCAGAGTCCATCATCTCTCATGGTTCGTCTCCCCCTCCGATTTACCCCCCTTCATTCTTCCCCTCCTGCTATCTTCTTTTTTTTTTTTTCTTAACATATATTGCATTATTTGTTTCAGAGGTACAGATCTGTGATTCAACAGTCTTGCACAATTCACAGCACTCACCATAGCACATACCCTCCCCAATGTCTATCACCCAGCCACCCCATCTCTCCCACCCCCCCACCACTCCAGCAACCCTCAGTTTGTTTCCTGGGATTATAGCTTTGTTCTTCTTTCTCAAGACTGCTTTGGCTATTTGGGGTTTTTGTGGTTCCATGCAAATTTTAGGATTGTTTTTTCTATTTCTGTGAAACATGCCATTGCACTTTGGATAGTGTGGACATTTAAGCGGTATTAATTCTTCCAATCCAGGAACACAAGATACCTTTCCATTTGTTTGTGCCTTCTTTAATTTCTTTCATCAGTGTCTTATAGTTTTCAGTGTATAGGTTTTTCATGTACTTATATTTATTCCTAAGTATTTTATTGTTTTTATGCTATTGTAAACAGAATTGTTTTCTTAATTTCAATTTCAGATAGTTCATTGTTAGTGTATAGAAACACAATTTTTCTCTGTACGTTGATTTTGTATCCTGCAACTTTACTGATTCATTAATTAGTTCTAACAGTTCTTTGGTGGAGTCTTTAGGGTTTTCTGAATGTAAGATCATGTCATCTGCATACAAAGAGGGTTTTACTTCTTCCTTTCCTATTTGGATGCCTCTTCTTTTTGTTGCCTGATTGCTCTGGCCAAGACTTCTAGTTCTATGGTGAATAGGAATGGTAAGAGTGGACACCCTTGTCTTGTTCCTGATTTTAGAGGAAAAGTTTTCAACACTTCACCGTAGAGTTTGATGTTAGCTATGGACTTGTCACATATGGCCTTTACTGTGTTAAGGTATGTTCCCTCTATACTCAGTTTGTCAAATTTTTATTATGAATGGATATTTTGTCTTTTTCTTCATCTCTTGAGATGATCATATGATTTTTATCTTTCATTCTCTTAATGTGTTGTATAACAAGTACTGATGTGTGTATGATGAACCATCCTTGCATCTCAGGGATAAATCCCACTTGGTCATGATGTATGATCCTTTTAATGAGCTGTCGAATTTGGTTCGCTAATATTTTTTGATAATTTTTGCATCTATATTCATCAAGGATATTGGTCTGTAACTTTCTTTTTTTTACAGTACCCTTATCTCGTGTTGATATCAGGGTGATCTTTTTTGTTTCTTAATGCATGCATTTATCACTATAAAATCCTCTATTGGGGCACCTGGGTGGCTCAGCTGGGTATCTGACTTTTGGTTTTGGTTCAGGTCATAATCTCAGGGTTGTGGGATCGAGCTCCATGTTGGGCGCTGCCCTGGACGGGGAGCCTGCTTGGGATTCTCTCTTTCCCTCAGCACCCCCATCCCTACCCCCACTGCTCTCTCTCTCTTGCTGTCTAAAAACAAAACAAAACAAAAAAACCCTATTAAACTGCTTTCGCATGTTCCCAAAGGTTTACATATGTTGTGCTTCTATTTTCATTTGTTTCAAGATACTTTTTGATTTCCCTTTTGATTTCTTCTTTGACCCACTGGTTGTACAAGGGTGTGTTGCTTAATTTCCACATATTT